ACAGATAGATACATAGCATACCTTTTGGCAGATGATTACCTGGTACACTTTCAGTTTTAGGTAATTAAAAATGCCCTCATCAATATGACCTCCAATTAAATAAGTTTTATTTATGTATAAACCAAAACTTCTGGGATACCAGGCATAAAGTAAAATACTGCTTTTTAGGAACTGAATTTTTATGTTCTGCAGCTTTAGGATATAAATATATTTTCAGCATTATTCCTCCTCTTCATAGAGAACATTTCTGTGTAAAAGTTTGAGAGAGGGATCAATCAATACACAAGATGTTAAAAAAAAATAACATTCCAATTTTGTTTCTGTGGCATGAGTTACATGCCTTTACATGGACAGGAAAGGGTATACATGCACACACACATACACACACATTATATATATATATATATATATATATATATATATATATTATATATATATATATATATAATATTATATATACACACATTTATTATATATAGATACATACACATATATATTAATAAAATTTAATTGGCTTGGCAATCTTTCTACACTAATTTGAAAGAAATAGTTTAATAAAATGTTTCCTAGGGAAGAAACAGTTCTCATATTAAGAAATTAATGCACGCACCATGTATTTTTTTCTAAAAACATATTTGCCCAACTGGCTCAAAGATATGCTAGTAAAACCTTCTACTTTTTAATCCCATAGTGCATTGCTCCAGATTATGACCATATTAATATGGGTAAAGACACAGATCACAACCCATATACATCTGCCCATTCTGAGTAAACTCTCTGTGATATACTCCCACAAATTTTCTGTAGAATGATCACAGTGTGGAGATTCTTTTTTATAAGCTCCTAACATTGCAGGGACAGTATTATAGCACGTGGGGTTTCCCTTGTATTTTGTTACAAGTTCATTATTTTCTGCTCATATATTTCTCTGACAACCTTATTACCACCTTTTCTCTGACTATGTTTCAAATTTAACATTTTGCAGCTTGCTCACAACTACCATGTAACTCTCCAGTGCTCTTTTGTTAATATACTACTTCAATAATTTTGTATAATACACTATTCTACAATATATTTAATAGTTAAAAAATTAGGGCACGCCTAAATCAATTTTGTCTTAATTCAGATTATAGCACCTAACTCATGAAATATAAATAAAATTACATTCTTCCTAGAGTTTATCTTCTCATAGGTAATATTGGTAGCAGAATGAGCATTTCTAAGGCAAAGTAACTTTCTAAACCATTCTTAATCATAATTGTTTAAGTGCAGGGTAACTGGTTACATGCATTGTTAAAAATGGATTTCCATTTCAATGAGGACCTTTGAGAAGTTCTTTAATTTTATTTAATATATGGGGTTACCCACCAAAAATGAATACAGCAACCTATTCATTGTTCCTCAGTAGGGAAATGTTGTGGTGAGTATATTAAGCTAAAAAAAATTAGCAGAATTAAATAATTTCATTAGTCATCTAGGTCAGCCGATATTCCTAACTATAACACATAAAACAATTATTAGACAGAGTTCTGTAAGACAAAACTGTTGACTTGTTAAAATGTCTTTGCCATTCATATATCTTTATGGAATCTTCCATGTTTAGTAAAAGAATTTTTTTCCCCAAAATTACATAACATCTTTTGTTTGGGATAAAGACATGTTTGGGGAAAAATGTAGTTCAAAGGATGATGTTGGTTCTAGAATCACAGTATTTGAAATTCAACAAATAAATCAACAAATATTCATATTGTGCTTCTTGTGCATAGTACACAGGTCCTCAGGAAGTTAGAGAATGTATATAATACATAAGTCCTGTCCTCCAGGTATTAATAGTTTAGTGAAAAGATAAGCTACTTGTATGAAGAATATAAAATATAATTTAAGATCATTAGAGATGAACGTAATTACAATCAGATAAGGTTCCATTTAGGAGATAGCATGTGAGTTGACTTCGAAAGAATAGATAGAAATCCAATTGTGATGGGAGTGGGGTAAGGAAGGAGAAGAGAATATTCTATGCATAAGTTCATAGAATTTGATTCAACTATATCACCTATTCTCCTTCTAACTACAGACAAAACACTATGCTATACAATGGAGATATATAAAACACACACGCACACACAAACAAAATAAAAACAAATTTAAAAAAATAATACCAAAAAAACCCCCAAAACACTGGCCTCTATCCTGGAGTTTATATTTTACCACAGATGATAGGATCACAGATTTGGACTTGAAAAGGACCTTAGAAACCTCTGTGTCCAACCCCCTCACTTTACATGATGAAAGTAAGGCACATAGAAGTTAAGTGAATTGCCAAGGGGTCGTATAATAAGTTTTTTAGGATGGATATGAAGTCAGGTCTTCCTAACTCCAAACCCAGAACTATATCCACCATGTCACCTATGGGGAAAGGGGTAGGAGACAAAAAGTAAGCATTATGGAATGGCAACTTTAGAGACAGTCTTATACAGCCCACTTTATTTTACATATGAGAAAAATAGGTGAAAATTGCTAGCCTAATGTTCGTAATTACTTACATGGCAGAAATTTGAACATGATCTTCTGTCTCCAAAATCAGTGCCATTTACCATATTGGTGTGAAAAAATGATGAAATTAATGCCTTAAATTTGGTACTTTTGTATTATGTTATAGATACAATGAAATTATAAAAAGAGAATTGCCTTAGGAACAAAATTGTTATAGGCAAGAAACATGCTAATAGGAAGGGAACATTTGTGACCATTATTCCAAAAAATCCTTTTTATGTATATCACAAGGTTATTGATGCTCACAGCCTTCTGAATCTTGTCCACTTGAAAGTTACTGTTAAGCTATATTACATGCAAAAGGATAGTCCATCAAAGTCCACATTGTACAGAAGATGACAATAATATATTGGCCAAGATAAATGCAGTTGCTACCATTGCCCTCTTCCCCCTTTAAGTATTTTCAAATGAAAAATCTGCTGAGAAATATACAGTCACAAAATCTTCTACCCAATCACATTTCTGTCACCCAAGGGTTTTCTACTGTGCTACCTCCAGATAAAAATCCTTCTCTGATGAATCCTTTACTAAGGCAAAGTTAATTATCTAGATAATTATCCAAGATTTCATAGTTTTCTTTATATATCAGTCAACCAAAAGGACTACTAGCTAGTGGATGATTTTCCCTCTTTCTCCTTTTTTTTTTTAAAGGATGATTAGAGATATATTATACACACTAAGTATCTATTTATAGCCTGAAATGGTTATGAATACTTTGTAATAGAGAAGGTCACTTAGCAAGATTCAGAAGGAAATTACTGTGCAATTAAAAATTATGCATGTGAAGTCTCTGCCAAATTCAGTTTTAATTCTTAGCTCTGTAACTTAAGCCTTCTTCAGTGCTCACCTGCCTGTCTTTTTCAATTCAATATTTTGAGGTAGAAAATACATTGCAATCTAAAGTCAATACGTTTATGACAGACTCAAGTCTTAAGTTGTGCTTTTTTTTTGGAGGGGAGATAGTTCTTATATTCAGATTGATCGTTAGAGATATTGAAAATCCAACTATTGAGAAAGCCCCACGTTGTACTTGGCTATTTCTTTAAAAAAGACTTTTCAAAGACTAGGGAGAAAATTAAGTTTTTGCTTGAGACAGACTTTCCCAAAATTTCAATTAACCCCATATAATCTCAGGCTGTAATTCCTTTTTGAAAAAAAAAAACAAAACAAAAAGAATAATAAATGATCAAATTATTCCTGTGTCATTCTCCTACACAGCTCAATTATATAGTTAAATAGAATAGTTTCATGCAATAAAATACCAGGTTTAGACAGCTGACAGGTCACATCTCTCCAAAGGTCAAAGTTGAAAGGTTTTTTTTTCAAAGAGACACATATGGAAGATTCCTTCAATATTAATAATTATGATTGTTAGACTGAAAAACAATTCTGAAATCTTGTTCAAGGAAGTTTTACAAAATTTTATCATTTTCCTCTTCCTTGTTACCCAAATCTGAATTTTTTACCAGAGTGCACAAATCTGAAAGTGTGATCCTATGTGGAAAGACAATAACATAGTCATAGTACTTTTTAAAATTAAAAACAGCTTTGCTTTAGTATCTTCTTAAAGGTTAGGGTAGGGGTGGGGAACCTGAGACTCTGAGGCCACATGTAGCCTTCTAGGTCCTTGGGTGTGGTCTTTGATTGAGTTCAAGTTTTACAGAACAAATTCTTTCATTAAGGGGATTTGTTCTGTGAAGTTTGGATTCAGTCAAAGGCCATAGTTGTGGACCAAGAGGGCCACATGAGGCCTCAAGGCTGCAGATTCTTCACCTGTGGGTTAAGGTTTTAAGAAGTAACTTCAAATATGCCTAATATCTTCTTTTAGTTTCTTCCTCAACATCAATATAAGATAGAGACTAACCTAAAATAACTGAAGTAACTTGAAGACTGATTGTGGTCATGTTACTATTTAATAATTCACAATTATAAATTCAAACAAATAAATAAAAATAAGAGACTGGCAGAAAGCCTCATCAGGAGAAGCAAACAGCAGATATGCTACAAAGAAACTATCAATAAAAATATTTTAGTGTTCATTAAGTGAAACAACCTACATTTACGTAACTGATGATGTTACTCAATAAATCATCAATATTTCCCAGCTAGGCCTAATGCAATTCAGTTTCTATCTTGAATCTAAACAGTGAGTCAAAGATGTTTCATGCATATATGTCGATTTTAACATAAGTTCACCTTAGTTCCATAGATGTCAATCCTAATCAATTCAACCATCAAAGGTTAAAAACAATACCAGGAGCACTGCCACATTGCCCTTGGGCACCATTTCGTCAGATTACAAATTACCCAAAGCATCAAAATCTTTTTTTTTTTCTGGAAGCAGCTTGAATGAAACCATCATATAATCCTTGCATCAACATTTCCATTCATATCTAATTATGGGGGCTGTAACTGATTCGATTTAGAAGTTATTTATTTGATCTTACCTCTATCACTGAAGTCATCCACTAGAATAATTTCAGCTATCAGACTGTCTGGAGTCCTGTTAATTATACTGTGTATAGTGCGCAGAAGAGAAGTCCAACCTTCATTATGAAAAGGAATAATGATGCTAGTGTTTGGCAGCTTCTCCAGGTACATCTTGTGTTTACAGCTAGAAAAGACAGAAAAATAAAGTTATATTTAAACCAAAACAACCATATACAATCAGTGTAATTAAACATTTTGTCTCACCCATAGTATTTTCATACAACTGCAATGACTGTTTTAGTATACATTGTTTCAAGAAGAAATTTAAAATGCCATTCACACAAACTCTTCCTTTTTAAAATTCAACAATTATTGATTTTTATCATTAGCTAAATTTGCTAATGATAATCATTATATAATATATTATAGAACTATATAATTATGTTATAATTTATAATATAGATAACATCATACATAATCTATAACATAGCTTATATTATATAATTATATTTTATGTTACATTAGCTATTGATACAATCAAAATTTACTTTTAAATGATCAATATTCCAAGTAATATTTGTAAGAATCCTCTTTTACATTAGGACTAAAAGGTAAGTCTAAAAGATCCACAATTAGGAATGCATACTTGAAGATTCTGATTGAATTATGAATTTATTGCTATTGCTGTTTAAAGATGCTTTTCCCTAAACAAACCCTCACCTTTTAAAGAACTAACATTCTTTTAGTGTTATGCTTTGGTTCTAAAACATGGAATACTGTGATTTTTGAGGCATCAAAATAAAGAGAGAAAATAATTGAAACACTGGCAATAGCGATAACAATCTGCATGCAATGATATAAAAAGATATTGTATAAAAGATGGTTGGGTGGAAAAGAAGATGGGCAGGTCATCTAATAAAAAATGAGTTATAAGAAATAAATAGGATATTTTCTACCTTAGTGCCCATGACAAAGGAAAGTTCATAGAATTTTAGATGGATAGTCTATATGGGATTTATGGGAGGCTATGGACAGGAGAAACTCAGGATAAGAAGTCACAGTTATATTATGATCTACACAATAGGGAAGAGTGGCCACATAGATGAGACCATAAATCCATTGAAATATTCAAAACTGTCATTTAAGGAACCTTCATAAAAGTCCTGTTCTTGTAGCTCATTATGACATGTAGGCACATGTCATTAGAGAACACAAACTCTGGCAAGTCTTACCAAACTGGAATTATTTTAGTATGGATTTAAAAAGATTTTGTACAGCTGTTAACCATGGCCCAACCCAGCTATGTTTAAAGGAGATCAACCATGGAAAGTTAGTCACCTGGAAATTATTATTTTTAGGCTATAGCAACTCATGATGATCACATACTAACATGAAGAGGGGTTATGTTCTATATTGGTAGAGGGGATATTCAAGCTATTTAAATGACCAATTTTTGAAATACTGAAGTTTAGTTAATGATAAATATATAAAAGATGTCTCAAAATCTTGGCATAAGCTATTAAAGTTCAAACATGTATAAAGAAATGTTATATCATTTATAATAAAATATTATGTAAATGTAATTGTTTTAACAGACTTTACTTTTATACATATAATACATACACATACATACACATACATCCATGCATACACACACACACATATATGCATATATATTTGTGACCACTAGAACACTTTAAAAACATAAATGTGTTATATTTATGTTCTTTATATAAACTTTGATTATAGACTATTTAAATAATTATAGTATGAAAGAAACAATGAAGAACACATGTATGATAGTATCTTAGCGTAAGGAATATACCTGTTAAGGTAGCATGACAGAAAACCCATAGATTATTTAGATATTACAAAAACCTGGTGATATTTAATTATCCAACTTCTTGGGTATTTTTATAATTAACTGAAACCTCAAGTTACTTATGGTACATTGAAACATATGAGAACCCTAAGTACATTGCTGCACACTCCTTTGAGAAACCCCTGAACATACAGAAATAATATGCATTTATTTTCTCACTCAGTCTAAATATTTCTGATATGTCCTTTGCAGAAGTTTTAGTTGATGTTTTATCATAGCATGGAGATGATTTTGGGTATTCAAAGGCCATACTAGTTCTGGGAGGAAAAAAAAAACCCAAAAGCTTTAGCTTCCATTTTTGAAAGTCTGTCACTTTTATTGTTATAGCAAATAATTTGCAGGGATAGCTATTGGACTGACATGTCAATCAGAGTTCTGATTATAAGCAATTTCTAAGTAGCATATAGAGCATCAAATAAAGAAATAAAATCAAGGGGGCAATAATACTAGATCACAAACTGTTATTAAGTATAAGAAAGAGAAAATTATTTTCATTCATATGGATCAATTATACAGTTCTCAGATTGTTTTTTTTAATATTTTACAGTACAATATTGTTCATACAGTGGTGAAAGAAATATTTGCAATTACAATATTATGAACATCTTTGATTTAGACTCATTGGGGGCACAGGAAATACTTCTGTAAATTATACACTTAAAAGAGTAATTGTAGCCTCAATTATTTAATTGGGTTTTCCCTTGGTCTTCAGTCTCCTGCAAAACAAAACAATTTCTTTGAAGTAATACAGTGGTAGAAAGTCTTCAAGTTCTTGTGACAGATTTTGTTGAAGGACCAGCCTCACTATGTATGGAAAGGTTCTTTATTAGTAGTGGGCTGGAATTCTTTAGCTTTTGCACTCCATGAAACAAAGACATTTTAGAATATCCTTCAGGCACAAATAGTCTCTTTTTGTGCCATGTTATGATAGAACCTCAAATATATAGAGAATTGAGTCAAATTTATGAAAAAAAAGTCATTCCCCAATTGACAAACGATCAAAAGTTTTCAGATGAAGCAATCAAAGCTACCTATAGCCATATGAAAATGCTTTAACTCATTATTAATTAGAGAAATGTATATTAAAACAATTTTGGGGTACTATCTCATATCTACTTGATTGGTTAATAAGACAGGAAAAAATGACCATTGGTGGAAAGGATGTGGGAAAAATGAGACAATAATGTACTGTTGGTGGAGTTGTGAACTGATTCAACCATTCTGAAGAGCAATTTGGAACTATGCCCAAAGTGTTATAAAACTACTACTACCACATGTATACTACAAAAGAGAAAAAAAGGAAAAGAACTTATATGTACAAGATTATTTACAGCAGTTCTTTTCTGCTGTCAAAGAATTGGAAATTAAGGGGATGCCTACCAATTGGGGAATGGTTAAACAAATTTTGCTATGTGATTATGATGGCATACTATTGTGCCATAAGAATTGATGAGCAGATGCCCTCTGGAAAGACTTACATGAGCTGATTCAAAGTGAAATATAGTGTGTACAAAGTAACAGCAATGTCATGAAATGATTGACTATGAATGACTTAGCAAGAGAATGATCCAAGAAGACTCTAAAGGACTTATGATGAAAAATGCAATCCATCCCCTGAGAAGGTATCTGAATACAGATTGAACCATATTTTTTAACTTTATTTTTCCTGAGTTTGTGTTTTTTTTTCTTCTGTTTTCTTTTGCAACATGCCTATTACGGAAATATTTTGCATGACTACACACATATAACCTATATCAAATTGTATGCCTTCTCAATGAGGGGGTGTGGGAAGGCAGGGAGGGAGAGAATTTGGAACTCACAATTTTAAAAATGAATGTTAAAATTCTTTTTATGTGTAACTGGGGGGAAATAAAATACTAAATTAAAAATAAAAAAGAAATGATAAAAGGGGTGATTTCTTAGGAATGTGGGAAGACCTATATGAAATGACATAGAGAAATGAACAACAGAACCAGTGACAATAATATAGTATGAAGACAAGAAGCTTTGAAAAACTTAGGAACTCTGATTCATGCAGCAATCAACAATTGAAGAAGACTCAACAGAACCATGTTATGTACTGATAGAAATGTAGTGTACTCAAAGCACAAACTGAGAAAAAAACGGGGGGGAGATGCATGGCCAATATATTATTTTTTTAAAAAATTTTACATGTTTGTAAAGAGATAAGAGAAAGGAGAAAAATCAGTTTGTTGAATAAAAAAATGTATTTTAATAAGAATACACTATGTACCAAAAATAGAAAAAAATCATGATTCTTTTTTTTCTAGTTTTTAAAATTATGTGATTCCATTTTGAATTTATTTTGGAATATGGTATATTGTACTTTTCTAAGCCCACATTCTGCCTGAATTAATTCAAGCAGTTCTTATCTAAAAAAATCTTTCCCAAGTAATTTATATTTGGGAGTTCATCAAACATTGACTTATTGATTTTCATTATTTACTGGTCTCCCTTGTCTAATCTGTTTCATTGGGATATTTTACTATGTTAAACTGATACCAAATGGTTTGGTTGACTATTGTTTTATAATGTACTTTCAGGTGTGGAAGTACTATCACTATTAATTCTAACATTTTCATCATTTTCCTTGATATTCTAGGTATTTTATTTCTCCAAATGAATTTTTAAAATTTCATCAGATTCTATAAAGTATCTCTGATAATTTGAATACCATAACATCAAAATTATATGTTAATTTTGGTAGCATTATATTTTTTTATATATTTTCATGGCCTAAGTACCTAAGAGTCTTCCACTTGTTTAATTTGTCCTTTATTTCCTTAAGAACCTGATTATAGAAAGTCACTATGATGACAGGAAAGATCAAAACACAAATTCAGATGAAGACAACGAACACAACAACTACATCCAAAGCTTCAAAAAAAAAATGTAAGTTGGTCTCAGGCCCAAAAATAATTCCTAGAAGAGCTCAAAGAAATCATTAAAAAGCAGAATTAGACAGATGGAAGAAAAAAAAGATGTCCAAAAATTCAGTGAAAAAAGAACTCCTTGAAAAGTAGAATTGGCCAAATGGAAAAGAAGGTACAAAAGCTCATTGAAGAAAATAATTCCTTCAAAAATAGAATTGGGCAAGTGGAAGCTAATGACTCCATGAGACCTCAAGCAATCACAAAAATAATCCAAAGAAAATGCAAAATATCTTATTGGAAAAACAACTGACCTGCAAAATAGAAAAAGGAGGGGTAATTTAAGAATTATTGAAGTACCTGAAAGCCATGATCAAAGATAGAGCCTAGATGTCATATTTCAAGAAATAT